TACTGTCACGATGAATCTAAATTGTTACCATCATCTTTCCCTCTCTGTTCGGTCAAGCTTCTTTTTCCGCCTGCTTCATGTCTCGTTCTTTGCTCGATGGTCGCAGCTTTGTGGCCGGACGTCACAGCCTCGACACACGATCGTTTGTCACCGAGATTTCGCAATAAGTTCCCCTTATCCGTAGACGGATCTTGAACGGAACCGAACACGAATTGAAAAGGAAAGAAAAAAAAGAAAATAAAGAAATACAAATTGACAAATTGTTCTAACCTGCATCGTTGGCAGAATCGTCATATGGCTGATGGTATGACATCAAAGAGGCGGCGGGGTCATTGTGTCGGGCCGCGGAGCCGTGAATTTTTCGCCGCTGGTTGTCTGTCGCGATCGCGAGGCCTTATATCGAACAGTGCATCGATTCGTCGTGGATATAATCGTATCTTGATTTCGTGCCTATCGCGACGACGGCTTCGGTGAATCCATCTTTTCACCGTCGCGAAACCCGCCGCGCCTGGTCTGACAGTTGAATGTGGGCTCGACCAAGAAAACGAGAGTGAGAAGTAACGTAAAGGCACGTTTCACGCATGGAAGAAACGAAGATTCAGGTTAAAGATAGCGGTGTAGCAGGAACTTCGACTTCTGAACAAGAACGGGATACCATCTTATTGTTAATGAAGATCATAACTGAGTGAAAAATTATTAATTTAAACCAGTGCAATTTCATGAAAAAAGAAAAATCATACAACGATCCTACTCAATGAGTTATTACTCAATCGCCGTGTGTAAAGTCTTATTCACGCGTGAGAAAGCATCTTGCAGTATAAACGTGAAAGTCTCAGTAGAATTCCAACTATATAATCTCATGATAATATTGGCCTTGTTTATTTAGTCACGCTTTAAATGCACACTTTAAAGCTGCATTCACGCCTGGGAAAAGAATTCCTGTCGCGATTCATTTCTGCATGGAAATTCGCATGGTCGATAACGCTTCCTGATAGTCGCGTTGCTATTGTATGCGCATTCTGCTTGGTCGAAAATTATATTCTATTGTCGTCGTATTAAGATCTATACATACTTCGGAGCTTCTCGCGAAACCGCCACGATCCGTCCAGTTTCTCGCAACCTGGTCAAGCAGGATTTTACAAGCTATATTGACGCGATAACAAACGATACTGTCATCGCGTTAAACCACGTGCACACCGGTGAAAATGCTCTATAACATCTTCACTAATTTTCAACTAATTGCTATATTTGTAGTTTTACGATTGGATCTTAAGATCTTATTCGTAATAAAATGAACATATATATTTATCATACTTGAATGTACAGGGAATGTACTTACGTTTTATCTTGTTACTTATCTTCTACACTTTCGTTGTTTCTAGAGGCATCAAAAAAAGGCATGAAAAGAACCTATATATACTATAAGAGCCAATTTTTTTTAGAAAGTTTATAAATATAAAGCAGCGTACCTTTAGAGAACTGATTTTTCGTAATCTATAATAATCGTAAATTATATAAATAACAACTTGTGTGCTTTGTTATATTATTAAAAGTTTTTCTATTTTTTTCTTTTATTTGAAGGAAATTTTTGCTCTGAAAATTTTATTCTTCGGTAGTTCCAGCATTAAATATAATATAGAGGAAACCATAATATGACAGTAATAGTTCTTTCTGTAGGTGAAGGATTTTGAAGTCATTTCAAGGTCATCTTCACTTTTTTTCTAAGTACAATGACATATTTTTCGTTCCACGTAGTTCAACTTTTTTTGTTTTTAATAAAAAGAAAAATATAAATCTATATATGTCGAGAAACATTATTAGTTTAAAAGATACTTCAACCTTAATTTTGCAAAATCTATCGTACATAAAAACGAGGAAAGACTGGCAGGAAGGGCAGCATGTTTGTGTTGATAATTGTCCTTGTCTTTTTTGTTCATCATTAATTGTTCAATTCTTAGATACTCTGAAACGCGCAAAGGCAGTTTGAAAAGATTGTTAAACTTCATCGAGGAAACTTCGTTGCATAGTTGAGCAATTCTTTCCGCGTATTATCAGCTGAAGTCGCATTTATATTGACGATCAGTTCTCACGAGGTCTGTGGTTTGTTTGCGGAGAAGATTCCAGCGTTTTCTCGTAATAGCTGCTCATAACACGGTTAGAAACGTGAACGAACGCATGTGTACGTCGAGGTAAAAGCATCTGTTCGTAAAGTTCGCGCGTTAAACTTTACACGTGTGCGTAAACTGACATAATCCAGTCACGCAGGTCGCGTAGCGATTTTCCATAGTTTCCACTCTTCTAGCGTTATAAAGTTAACATCGCGCGCGTCGCCATTATGTATTCATGGGGGAAAGACGCTTGCAACCTCGTTGCAATATGTACCGGATGGTATGCGAGACGCAAAAGCAGCGGCTAACAGGTTGGCCATCGGCGCCTCGTCTTGTGTAAGTTGCAATAAAGTCTTGTAATGCAACCTCATCATGCCGCCTGATTGCACTTACAAGAAAATGTTGTCGCGTGACGCAAATACTAGGTACTACCGGCTGACCTGTATGGGACAAAGTTAATTAAAATAAAAAGCTGGATGAAGTTATCACAGATAGGGTTCTTTGATCGATGAGGCTCTCATCGAGTATTTATTAATGACTCTCGAACCGTCTCACGTTCCTTTCTCTCCTTTTTCTCTCTTTGCTAGATTTCTTCTTTTTTTTTTTTTTTTTTTTTTAATCTGTCACGTTGCAATTTGCTGGACACGTCGAGTTGAAGGAACGGGTTTGTCCGCTTGATTAAAATTTCAAGTGTTTGAGCTTTTTTTTTTTTAAGATTCAGTTTGGTTCTTTCATTTACATTAAAGTTAATCCTATTACTTTTCGAAGAATTGAATATTAAGTATAATTATAATGTGTAGATTTATACATGATATAAATTTTATATATTACGTTACATACAATATATAATAAAAAAAAAAAGAAAAACAATAGCAAAAGCAAGAACGTAAAGAGAAAATGGCAAGAAACTGAAATATCAAGCAACGAGGCAGAAACTAACTAAAACGTCGAGTACGCGAAAAGAAATAATATGAAAATGATTGAAAGTTTCAAGATCATTACGCGAAGCTTAATTCTCGAACTCGTAACGTGAGATCGAAGATAGTAAAGGACACGATACGACACGGGGTATAAAGGGCGAGGGAAACTCGTTTCTGTGAATCAGTCTGGTAAAGTTAATTAAGCTCGTGGCTGGACGAATCTCGAACAGGAAGTGGCGGCGCGTGGCCACTATAAATCAAGATGACTGGGACGATTACCGCAATTTCCCGAAATCTCATGCGTGCACCTGACGAACGGATCGCGACGCGAGACTCGAGCATGCCAGCCGAGCTTTTAACGCTTCCGCAGTCTAGCGTCCATGTATTTCGGTATGGGGGTTTCCGGTAGATTAAGTTGGCGCGCGATTATTATTAGAAACGGTTGACCAGCGGTTTCCGGAATGCTAATTCCCATACTTCCGCCGATTAATTTTGATTACGGAGACGGTGATCGGTGGATTCGTAATCGTGGAAATTGTTTCGTTCTTATTGGAAGTTTTGGCGAAGGAAGGTTTTTAAGTAGGTTAGACAGATGTATAGTGAAAGTGCTAAGTTTCTTCGTCTCCCAAATTTGTTCCCACCGATCGGACGTGGGTGATCAGTGGAAATTTCGACGAAAGAGGCTTTTTAAGAACGTTAGATGAACCGGAAGAATGTTAATTTTTCTGTTTCCACTGATTAATTTTACGTAGACGGTCTCATTGGAAACTTCAGCTAAAGAACATTTCTGAAGCTTTACAATAGTCGCAGAAGGTTTCTTTCTTTTTAAATTTCTAAATCGTTCTTCTTGTGTCACAAAGATTCGGAATTTAACTTCTTTGTAATCGGAGTATCAATGTATCAATGTAAATGTTTCATTTCCCTTTGGGGAATGTGAAAGGAAAGGGAAGCGAAGGAAATATGAAAATCTCTCGTGTAACTGGAATTACGACACGAACGGAGTGCAAAGAGGATTAATAGGAAGGGCAGGTGCCAGGTCTGCGTTTATTTTTCGCTTATTTCCTCCTTTCCATCTTTCTCGACCCCCCCCCCCTCTCTCTTTTTGATCGTCAAAGAGGGAAATGTCAAGTAGTATTTTCACAGTCATGCTATTTCTGCCAGGTGGCGAGTTGCTTGGCCAGGCCAGCATTTTCCACTTGGACGTTTTTGGTTCAAGATTAATTAAATTTCCGTCTGGAAATAGTTGCGCCCGTTGGTCATCAAGCCGTGAATGTTGAACGTTGGGTTTTCGGGTGGGACAACGATTTCGGTGGCGCAACACGCGATGTTAATCCACTCCTGTGCTCTCCTTTTTGCAACTCGATCTCTCGAGCTTTAGATCGCTGTCAGGACTCCTTAGGAATCTTGTCTATAAATCAGTTTCCTTTCACTTTCTTTCGACTCGTTCCGTTCGATTTTTGTTGCCTTTGTTTGGCTTTCGTTACTTTGTTCTTGTCTTTTGTTTGATTATTGATCGTTGAGTATGATGATCAAGATGAGTGATCGTTTTCTTTTTTTTTTTCTAGACGAAGTTAATTAGTTATCTTTTCAGTGGACGAAATTAATTTGTTTTTCGAACTTCTTAATTGAGATTCGATATTGTTTGTTGTATGCATACTTTTACGTGCGAGTTAGTTACATTTGTCTTTTTTTAAAACTCGTTTCACTCGACTTTTGGAGTACAAGTCGGCTCAGTCGTTCTTTTCATTTGTGTAACATGCTTCTGTCATCTACTCTCGATGATCTGTTAGATTATTAATTTCCTCCCTGATGGATCCAATTAATTAATTAATTCTTTTAATTTGATAATTTCGTTTATTTTTTTCTTTTCCTTTGTTTTTCGTATGACCTGCTTGATGTTTTATTTTTTTAATATTTGTCAAAATATATATTATTCTATATATATATAAAATATTAAAGCTAACGCGTGAAAGATGTAGTTCTAACAGAAGCTTTAAACTATCATGTATCGCAGAATGAAAGTGACCGGACTGTCCTAGACGAGGATGGACCAAGGCTGGGTCATGTTCAAGCTGAATGGACCTGGAGGCCCATTCATAATCGATATACTTATTCCATTCGGCCAACAGTGCCAACACCAAGAGCCCATTGAGTACCGATCCTCCAGTGTGAATGACCTTTTATACGACTAAACAGCTGAACTCTTCACAAATCAATTCCTCTCCAAATGTAATTTGTACATCATATTTCTCTTCTCTCTCCTCTAGTTAGAGAGGAAAAATGTTTTCTCAAATATTCTTCGTGTTTCTGTCACTTTTCAAAGAAAACTCTTGGTAAAAGTTTTTTTTTACCTCATCTCGAAGCAATTAAAGCGTAGCCAAGTAAATAACTTCCATTTTATATGAATTCCAACATATAAATATAATTAATAAGATTATATTTTTATATGAATTGTATTATTATAT